CCTCCTTCTCTCTGCCTCTCCCTCCTCGCCCTTTTCCTACCTTCCCCCCACTCGCCCCTCCCTTGGTATTCCTCCCCCCCATCACCTCCCCATCACCTCATGACCCCATTAAATCCTTAGTTCCTTCATCATATTATTTCCCATCCTTCCCAATCCTCTCATTCTCCCTCCCCTCCTTCTCACCCCCTCACCCCCCCTCCACAAGTCACCTCACAGCTGCAGGACACCCATTTACCCACCTTTCCCCTAACCGTTCTTCCCCCCTTCCTCTCTCCTCCTTCCCATACCCCCTCTTATTCCCTTCCCCTCCCCCTGTTTAACAGTATCCTCTCCCTCCTTCCTTCAGATGCATCCTCTCTCTCTCTCTCTCTCTCTCTCTCTCTCTCTCTCTCTCTCTCTCTCTCTCTCTCTCAGGATGAGTATAGGGTGCACAATAAACTAGCTGCTCTGTTTGTATAAAAAAATTCCCCTCTCCTCTTAGCTCCTTCTCCTCCCCTCCCCACCCCCCACCCCCCCCTACCACTCCCAACACATGCTAGGAAATTCAATACGGTGCCTTGTGCATGGTGGTGAGAGAGAGAGAGAGGTGGGGGGAAGTGATGAGGGAGGGGGAGGAGAAGAAATTTTTTTATACAAACAGAGCAGCTAGTTTGTTACCCCATAACCCTATCTAACCTAACACTACCTAATCTAACTATCCCTGGTAGCGTTAGGGTGTTTAATCATCAGGTAAAGTAAGGACAGGTGAGGCAGGGGTTATCACAGGTGGTGGGTGATAACGCTTATCATATTACCTGTGGAATAGTCGACGAGTTGGGTGGGGGGGAGTGGGTGGGTGGATGGGTGGGGAGTGGGTGGGTGGATGGGTGGGGAGTGGGTGGGTGGGGGAGTGGGTGGAGGGGTGAGGAGAATGGGTGGGGGAAAGATTGGTATTTGGTGTGTAAGGGTGGGTTGGTGAGGGCTTGGTGGGTAGGCGGAAAGAGTGGGGCAGATTAGGATTTGGGGTGAAGTTGAGGAGTTGTGTGTGTGTGTGTGTGTGTGTGTGTGTGTGTGTGTGTGTGTGTGTGTGTGTTGTTTTATGCAATCTATGAAACAGACAGAAAGAGACAGAAAGGAGAGAGAGGTACAGACAGATAGAGAGAGAGAGAGAGAGAGAGAGAGAGAGAGAGGCAGGCAGGCAGGAGGCAGCACCGTCAGTGTCGCACCAGTAGCCAAGGAGTAAACACTGTACGTCGCTCTGTTAACTTCCTGTGCGCGTGTTAACAGTGAACCTCGCTCTGTTAAATCGTGTTAATATCTTTACCTAGTGTTAAATTGTGTTAATATCTCTCTGTCATGTGTTAATATCTCGCTACCATGTGTTAAATCGTGTTAATATCGTTACCTCGTGTTAATATCGTTACCTCGTGTTAATATCGTTACCTCGTGTTAATATCGTTACCTCGTGTTAATATCGTTACCTCGTGTTAATATAGTTACCTCGTGTTAATATCGTTACCTTGTGTTAATATCGTTACCATGTGTTAATATCGTTACCACGTGTTAAATCACGTTAATATCTCTCAGACATGTGTTAAATCGTGTTAATATCGTTGTCCTGTGTTAAATCATGTTCGTATCGTTGTCCTGTGTTAAATCGTGTTAACATCTCTCTGTTTTGTGTTAAAATCTCTCTGGGTGTTGTTAAATTGCTCTTTGTTGTGAAATTATGTTTAATTCATATTAATATATTTATCGATTTAAGTTAAATTTTGACTGTTAATATAACGGCGTCTGACGTGTTAAATTATGTTAATATTTATCCTGGCTGTTATAAAATGTTCGGCCATGTTAACAACTCCTTCGGATATGTTACATTCAACCTTATTCGTGTTAATATATCGTTGGAATGTGTAAGTTAAATTCAGCCGCCTTGGCCATGTTAATTTGTGTTAATATCTATCCATAGGTTGTGTTAAAATATTCATCAGTGTTTAAACAAATGTTAAATTTATCTTTATATCTTCCCTAAATGTTAACAACTGGTTTGGTCAAGTTGAATTACACGTTTTTTTTTACTTGTTCTGATTGATGGTAAAGTTTTATAAGTGTTAACATCCGGTATTTGTTAACGTCGTTTTTAACACCTTTGACTAAGATGAAACGTTGTGTTAATATTCCCCAGCAATGTTAACTGTTAAACGTTTATCATAACTTTATATCAGTATAAACATTTAAACGTTTGTGTTGTTATTATAAACATTTAAACGTTTATGGTGTTAATAAAAAAATTTAAACGTTTGTGTTGTTTGTTAATATAAACATTTAAATGTTTGTTGTTAATAAAAACATTAAAACGTTTGTGTGGTTAATATAAACATTTAAACGTTTGTGTTGTTTGTTAATATAAGCATTTAAATGTTTATGTTGTTAATATAAGCATTTAAATGTTTATGTTGTTAATTTAAACGTTTGTGTAGTTAATATAAACATTTAAACGTTTGTGTGGTTAATATAAACATTAAAACGTTTGTGTGGTTAATATAAACATTTAAACGTTTGTGTAGTTAATATAAACATTTAAACGTTTGTGTAGTTAATATAAACATTTAAACGTTTGTGTAGTTAATATAAACATTTAAACGTTTGTGTAGTTAATATAAACATTTAAACGTTTAGGTACTTGACAGTTTTCTCTTAAAGGTGAACATAAACATTTGAACATTTCCTGAACATTTGTGGTTGTTAGAGAGAGAGAGAGAGAGAGAGAGAGAGAGAGAGAGAGAGAGAGGACCACACCCAACCTTATCACCAAATAACCAGAGGCCTTCCCTGTGTGTGTGTGTCCAATAATCTTTGAACACCCCATGGCTCTCTTGCCACCTCCCCACTGTGTTGTGAGCTAAACGCACACGACAAATTCCTCCAGGGTTGTGATGTTACGACACGACACAGTGCTGAGTCCTAGTCACGTCCGTCTTATGGTTACGACACGAGAAACTGTAGTGAATCAGCGAACGTAAAACTCGCCAGGAATTTGCTCTGTCGTGTTAGGTTAGGTTACGTTAGGTTACGTTGGGTTAGTTTGGGTTAGGTTAGATTAGGTTAGTTTTGGTTAGATTATGATGGGTTAGGTTAGGTTAGTCTGGTAAACTCAAAATACGTAACCTCTAACACACACACACACACACACACACACACACACACACACACACACACACACTAACGCTCAAGACAGACACGCAATGGCAGGTAATGAGGTGAAGGGGTGACCTTCGTCTTACTTATATGAACAGTGAGCGGCCCTGTCTGCTCCACACCTTATACAGAGAGTGAGTGAGTGAGTGTGGATGAATGAATGAATGTCGTGTAGTAAAGTAACCACTTATGATGCCGTCCTCTCTCTCTCTCTCTCTCTCTCTCTCTCAGCTGTTGAATGTAAATAAATGACGTCACTCGTTCAGGCTTATAGTAACCTCCTGTTCCATGTCAACACACCACATCAGTTGTTCCATGTCAACATCAGCTGTTCCATGTCAACACACCACATCAGCTGTTCCATGTCAACACACCACATCAGCTGTTCCATGTCAACACACCACATCAGCTGTTCCATGTCAACACACCACATCAGCTGTTAATTAGCCCAGCTGTGTTTTGAAGGACCAGACCTGTTGGGCCTTTTACACAGGTGAATCTAGTTCAGCCTTGACCACCTCACATAGTCGCGTCGTCTCGGTTACTTTCACGATGTACACGGTGGCGCCACGCACACGTGTACGTTCACCCGGTTCGTTAGCTGCACATGGACGAGTGTACATTACTAGTGAGTGTATGGACGAAGTGCTTAGAGAACTGTGTACGTCTTGTGTGTGTGTATGTGTTTAACAAGTGTATACGAACATGTAAACACTTCTTTTTATGCGTTTGAACATGCATGCAATTACACACACGAACATATTCACACACACACACACACACACACACACACACACACACACGCACACGCACGCACACACACACACACACACACACACTAATGTTTGGCAGTTGTTTGAATCACGTCATTAAACATTCTGAACCTGTTGACCAAAACTTTTCTGACTGATTGTGTTGAGGACTTGGGCGGGCGGGTGGGCGGACAGGCGGGCGGGTGGGCGGGCGGACAGGCAGGCGGGCGGGTGGGCGGGAGTGTGTGGCCTGAACCCTGTTGTTGTAGACTCCTGAGCCAGATATTGTAAAACTAATTAATCAAACTTATGCTTAAACTAAGTTGCCTTAATCTGACCTTAACCAAATATAACTTAACCTGAACCTAACCTAACCTAACCTAACTTAACCCATGTTGGTGAATCTTGGTTGAAATATTTATATCATTAATAAGAAAAGTTAGAACGATAACATTTATTTTGTTTGTTATGTGTGATCAGCTGTTCAGTTTTTTGTTCAGCCGTTGTTCAGTTTGTTCTTCTTGTTCAGCCGTTGTTCACACGCTCATCGTTTCATCGTCGTTGTGCAATATGTTCAATAGTTGTTAAAATAGTGAACGTTGACACAGATCTTCAGAGTTTGCAACACTGACTCCGTGACTCATGTGTGTGTGTGTGTGTGTGTGTGTGTTTTATATTAACCTGTGTTCATATTACCGTCATATTCAAAAGAGCACAAACATCTAAGCAACATCATATACAAACACATACAAGCACACAAACAGCATCACATACAAAGCAAGCACAAACACAGTCACTTCAGAATTACGTATAGACAAGCATGAACACTTAATTAGCATTACACACACACACACCAGGAAGGGGGAGGCAGGTGAGGTACGTTATCCGAGCTAGCGGGGTTCAGTATCCTAGCTCGAGAGGAGATATCCTAGCTGAGGGGGGGGTGGCGGAGGACGGAAGCAGTATCCTAGCAGAGGAGGAGGAAGGGTAGGATGGAGGGGGGTGAGGTCGGTTGGTATCGATCACTGTGGTAGCGCGCGACGCCCAGGCTAACCTAACCTGAGCCCTGCCTGTGGACGTCGTCTGGGTGGCGGCCGTCAGTGTGGGTGTTTCCTCACTCCCCGCCCACACCCACGCCCACGGAGATGGAATTAGGTGTTGACCCCTTGACCGAGAAGGCCTCAGGAAGCCCTCCGTGCAGGTGTGGCCGCGATAAGCACGTAGGATGAGCCTTGGGGGTGTGATTCGTGTGTGTTTGAGTGCAGGTAGTGTCCTGTGTTGCGGGGCGGGCCTGGCTTGTTGTCATTGGAAGCGCCAACATGAATGGCTTATGTCTTTGTGTCGTACGCCTTTAAGGATCATCCCACGCCAATATGGTGACTTACAAATGGGAAAATGTGGACTGCCAGTGATGGTGGGAGTAGTGAACTTGTGGAAAATGTCTAGGAAATACCCCGAAAGAGGTGGAAATATGGAGTGTTTACTGTGTAGAGCGGCCTGACGAGTGTGGTGGTGAGGCCAAGCTGCCCCTAGATAACGTTGTCACTGTGTATGTGTTTTGTGGTAGTTATTCTCGTGTTGTGTTGTGTTGCGGTGCATCAGTGCCGTCATCAGTAGGAACATGTGCAACATTTCATATCCAAGAATATTGTGAATTACAATAGAAAGAGCAACAAAATGTCTTACTTTGTGGGGTAAACGTTTCTAGCACTTTCTGTGACGGACACAACAACATCAGCTGTAGTACCAGATTCTCAAAAGACTTCAAGTGAACACATCAGAATTAAAGTCTGTTTAAATACGACGCCATTTATTGGAACTATTAATCTTGTATTTAACTTCAAGTCAACAAGTTACCTGCGACAATTACGTCACCAACATCACCTGAGGCACCTTTTAAGAGTCTAGTACCAGCTGGAAGACTCAGATGTAAACCTTCCTGAACCTGGTGTGTGTGTGTGTGTGTGGAGCAGCAGTAGTGAACTAGAACAGCACAGTACATGACGTCTGGTTTGTTCACACCACAAAGGATTTCCGTTTCCCGTCAGTATCAGTGTTTTAATAAGACTTCCCCGACACAAGGCCGTGAGGGGCGCCATGCTGGGTGCTGGGTACGTGTGAATTTTACCTCCCACCACCAACAAGAAATCTCAGTCGGACTGGACATAACTGCCCGTCACTGGACAATAATCCCAGTTGGATGGTTTATCTCTTTGGTCTGACTCCCCATCGGGAAAAAATTAATCTCTCATAATCTCCCAGTGGTCAAAATTACGCGAGATATTTTCTCAGTGGACTGAATCCCACCAGTCGGTCTCCCATTGGTCAAAACACCACCAGCCGGCCTCCCATTGGTCAAAACCCCACCAGCCGGCCATCCATTGGTTAAAACCCCACCAGTCGGCCTCCCATTGGTTAAAACCCCACCAGTCGGCCTCCCATTGGTCAAAACCCACCAGTCAGTTTCCCATTGGTCAAAACCCCACCAGTCGGCCTCCCATTGGTCAAAACCCACCAGTCAGTTTCCCATTGGTCAAAACCCCACCAGTCGGCCTCCCATTGGTCAACACCCCAACACCAGTCGGCCTCCCAATTGGTCAAAGCCCACCAGTCAGTTTCATTGGTTAAAACCCCACCAGTCGGCCTCCCATTGGTCAAAACCCACCAGCCGTTTCCCATTGTCAAAACCCACCAGTCGGCTCCATTGGTCAACACCCAACACCAGTCGGTCTCCCCATTGTCAAACCACATCGCTTCCCATATCAAAACCACACCCCACCCCAAACAAACCAGTCCCTCCATTGTCAACACCCCAACACCAGTCGGCCTCCCAATTGGTCAAAGCCCCATATTATAATTCCCCTTGAACAAAAATCCAACCACACAAATTATTCATGGACAAAACCCCTCATCCCCCCCCCCCAAGCCCAGATAGCCGATTGGGTCAGATTTACGTGGGATTGTGTTTATAAAATACCCTGTCAGCCAATGGGGTCACTGTGTAGAAAAAGGTCAAATGAGACGCCATATATCCCAGTCAAATGAGAATTTGTATTATTGTAATTGTTATTATTTACTAGTTGTATTATTTTGATTTATTGTTGTATTTTGTATGTTAAATGTTAGTTTGTAATTAAGCTCAGGTTAGATCATACATATTAATTATTTAAGTGTAAAATTGTTGTTAATGTCCACGTCAAGATAATTTAATTTATATATTCCGTGGAATGATAAATTACTCGTACGTCAGGCAGCGAGATTGTTGTGTTGCCGTGAGTTGTTGCCGATGTTGCCAAGTATCGTATAACATGTTATCTTACCGCACGGTGATATTATTGTTAATTTATAATATCATTTGATCGTTTAAATTAATCACACTATGCAAATAAAATAACAAATATCACCATACAGGTTGTTATAGGGGTTAATTAACAGAAATGATCTCCTAACTATATTTAAATAATTATATCTCACCTGAATGTCCAAGTGATCATGTGTTAAGTTTTAAGTTATTAATTTTATTACTTAACTCCCTATAAGTGTCATTTAAGTTCCTAAGTAAAGTTTATTATGTCATTTAAAACGATAATATTGATATATGTTAAAAGGAAAAGTTCATTTACAAACCTTCACAATTTGTCGGGTGATAAAATACGTTCAGCTGGGATACAGAGATCATTCATCACATAAGAGGGGGGTGAGTGATATGGAGACACACACACACACACACAGACAGACACAGACACAGACAGACACACACACAGACACACACACACAGACACACACACACAGACAGACAGACACACACACACACACACACAGACACACACACACACACACAGACACACAGACACACACACACACAGACACACAGACACACACAGACAGACACACACACACACACACACACACACACACAGACAGACACACAGACACACACACACAGACACAGACACAGACACACACACACAGACACAGACACAGACACAGACACACACACACACAGACAGACACACAGACACACACACAGACACAGACACACAGACACACAGACACAGACACACACACAGACACAGACACAGACAGACAGACAGACAGACACACACACACACAGACACACACAGACACACACACACACAGACACAGACACAGACACACAGACACACACACACACACACACAGACACACAGACACACAGACACACACACAGACACACACACACACACACACAGACACAGACACACACAGACACACAGACACAGACACACACACAGACACAGACACACACAGACACACACACACACACACACACACACACACAGACAGACACACACACACACACACAGACACAGACACACACACACAGACACAGACACACACACACACACACACAGACACACACACAGACACAGACACACACACACACACACACACACACAGACACACACACAGACACACACACACACACACACACACACACACAGACACACACACAGACACAGACACACACAGACACAGACACACACACACACACACACACACACACAGACACACACACAGACACAGACACACACACACACACACACACACACACAGACACACACACACACACAGACACACACACACACACACACACACACACACACACACACACACACACACACACACACACACACACACAGACACACAGACACACAGACACACACACACACACAACACAGACACACACACAGCACACACACACAGACACAGACACAGACACACACACACACACACACACACAGACACACACACACAGACACAGACAGACACACACAGACACACACACACACACACACAGACACACACACACACACACACACACAGACACACACACACACACACACACACACACACACACACACACACACACACACACACAGACACAGACACACACACACACACACACACACACACACACACACTGTTTGTCGTTATCATCAGGCGAACTGTGACGTAAATGTGTCCCAGTATCGGCTTCCGGTCAGTCCTTAGTAATGCGGACCTATTACGACTGTGACCCATTAGGACTGGGACCCATTATGACAGACCCATTAGGACTGGAACCCATTAGGACTGGAACCCATTAGGACTGGAACCCATTAGGACTGGAACCCATTAGGACTGGGACCAATTATGACTGAGACCCATTAGGACTGGAACCCATTAGGGCTGGGACCCATTAGGACTGGAACCCACAGGACTGGGACCAATTATGACCGAGACCCATTAGACTGGAACCCATCACTAGACTGGGACCCAATAGGACTGGGGACCAATTATGACTGAGACCCATTAGGACTGGAACCCATTAGGATTGGGACCCATTAGGACTGGAACCCATTAGGACTGGAACCCATTAGGACTGGAACCCATTAGGACTGGGACCAATTAGAACTGGGACTCATTACAACTGGGACCCATTAGGACTGGGACCCATTAGGACTGGGACCCATTAGGACTGAGACTCATTAGGGCTGGGACCCATTAGGACTGGGACCAATTAGAACTGGGACTCATTAGAACTGGGACCCATTAGAACTGGGACCCATTAGGATGGGGGACCCATTAGGACTGCACCATTAGGACTAGGACCTATTAGGACTGGGACCCATTAGACTGGGACCCATTAGGACTGGTACCCATTAGACTAGGACCCATTAGACTGGGGACCCATTAGGACTGAGACCCATTAGGTCTGGGGACCTATTGATGACTGTGACCCATTACGACTGGGGACCTATATGACTAAATCACATGACTGGGGACTCCATTACGACTGGGGACCTATTACGACTGGGACTCATGACTGGGACCCACTAGACTGTGACCCATTACGATCAGACCCATTAGGACTTGGGACCCATTAGACCGGGACCCATTAGGACTGCATCCATTAGGACTGTGACCTATTAGGACTGTGACCATTACGACTGGGACCCATTACGACTGGGACCCATTACGACTGGGAATCTATTACAGACTGGGACCTGATACGACTGGGGACCCATTACGACTGGGACCCATTAGGACTGGAGACCCATTAGGTCTGGTACCCATTAGGACTGGGACCCATTAGGACTGGGACCCATTACGACTGGGACCCATTACGACTGGGACCCATTACGACTGGGACCCATTACGACTGGGGCCCAGTACGACTGACAGCAGCGTCACCAAGCGGATGTTACTAAAGGCTAGTGGTAAGAGGTTGTAAACTAATGATAAATTCTCGTCAGATTTTAGCTCGAATTAAACGCTTATATTCCGGGCTGTGTGGGGGGCTGGGGGTGGAGGGGGGAGTTACGTGTGTGGGAAGATGTGTGTATGTGTGTGTGTGTGTGTGTTCATAAGGTACAATCTCAGTGTAATATATAAACAACATTTTCAACATTATCTTAATTATATATTTTATCGTACCTTCACTACCTGTATTCTCACGTCACCAGGTACATTACGACAGATTAATTACTTTACGAGCCTTCGACAATATGGCTCATTGTCTTCACTAAACTAATAACAAATTACGTATTCTCACCGTCCCGTGTCGTGAATGACGTGATGGACAGATAGACAGATATTTGTTGAGTAAATCCGTCGTACACCTTCAGGTTAGATCAGTAGGTAGACAGTGCAGGTGTACAGACAACAGTGAACAGCAAGACGAGACGAGAGGTGTTAGTAGTGTGTGTGTGTGTGTACAAACGACAACGTCCATATTACAGAGATTTTTAGAGATGTAAACACCAGAAACAACGACGAATGCTCGGCTGTTGTAACTCCTATGGACGAAGCCACGTAGACGGTATGGAGGGGACGGAGGCGCTCAGGATACAAGGCCACAGTGATCCCCTGACACATCCCGTCGACTCAGCCCCCGTCAAAGAGACGTCCTTAGATAACAGAGAGTTAGAGAACCTAAATAAGCGTGAGATGAGAACTAATAAACACTCCAATAACAAGATCAGTGAGGTGGACGCCGCGAGTGACAACCCGGATGATGGTTGTGAGAAAAATGATTCCACGAAAGACGAGGATTACAAAACGGAGGAGGAGTGGGCGAGCGACCCCCTCGACCCGCCCAGGTGCCTCGACCTCTCGACCAAGAGCGCCGAGTCTGGCGAGGTGGACGATGTGTCGTGTAGTGAGGAAAATAGTGTGGATAATAACACGTTTAATATAATCAACACGGAAAATTCGGAGAGTCAAGAGATAAGCGAACTGACCAATGACGAGTCTCACAAAGAACACGGCGAAGACGGACACGTTAAAGAAAATGGGGAATACGACCGAGGCACCCAGACTGATGAAGACTCCGAGGAGGAGCTGTCTTGTCTCGAGGAGGAAGATGAGGATGATGACGAGGAAGGTGAGCTGACGGAGGACAGTGGAGAGAGTGACTGTGAGGACCTGACTTCCAGAAGTGACGATGGTGACGAGAGTGACGATGAGGCGGAGTTTGATAACGACTCCTTAGAAGACGGGAAGAGTAAGAAGGAGGAAGTAATGGAGAAAGTTGAATGTAAAGTGCCAAAGACTCTTCCCCTCCCTCTACCTCCCCCCTCTAGTCCTCCCCAGAGTGCCGTGGCAGGCGTCAAGGGCGGGGACCACAAGCCCTCCTCCCCGAAGATTAGACAGAGACTCAGGTCCTTCGGTAAAAAGGACACAAGTGAATTCAAAATAGAAATCTTCGAATCGAAAAGAAAACCGCAAGACATTCCCAGCATCAACGTGCCGGACGAGGCCGTGAGTGACAGTGCTGGTGTGGGCAAGGCTAGGAGTGACAGCGGTTCAGTGAGTGACGGCAAAGATCCCTTGCTTGCACCAGTCACCCGGGAAAAATGTATTGACCAACTGGCAACTGCGAACGTTCCCAGCCCGTGTTCGGACTTAACGACCCCGGAGTCGGCGGACAATACCCTGGGCGTGTCCCTGGATGTAAGCCAAGCCATTCGCGAGGAGACCGACGAATCAGACAGATGTTCACCAATGAAGAGTCCAGCTGATGTAAACACGAGGACGCAACACAGTGCCGCAGGTAATGTTACACGGCATGATGTACTCTGTATCTTATAACTTATATAAACACTATTTTTTTCAGAAGTAATGTTTATAGTCATAAACACTCAACTTATAGTTAACTATAGACTTGTATATAGTTACCATATTGTTATTTATATTTTAACAAACATAATTATTGCTTATACAGGATAATAGTTCATACAAACACAATCATATAATTATACCATACATACATACATACATACATACATACATGCGTACATGCATACATACATACATACATACATACATACATGACGTTAGTGAGGGCGTAATGTAATAACAATTGTTTTCGTTGTTGTAATAGATTGAATTACATTGTTAATTCCATCTGTGGCCACTGTGTTAGGGGCAAATAGGCAGTGTGAGCCAGCTGTGGTGTTTGTTGTGTGAGCCAGCTGTGGTGTTTGTTGTGTGAGCCAGCTGTGGTGTTTGTTGTGTGAGCCAGCTGTGGTGTTTGTTGTGTGAGCCAGCTGTGGTGTTTGTTGTGTGAGCCAGCTGTGGTTGTGTTTGTTGTGTGAGCCAGCTGTGGTGTTTGTTGTGTGAGCCAGCTGTGGTGTTTGTTGTGTGAGCCAGGTGTTTGTTGTGTGAGCCAGCTGTGGTGTTTGTTGTGTGAGCCAGCTGTGTGTTTGTTTGTTGTGTGAGCCAGCTGTGGTGTTTGTTGTGAGCCAGCTGTGGTGTTTGTTGTGTGAGCCAGCTGTGTGTGTTTGTTGTGTGAGCCAGCTGTGGTGTTTGTTGTGTGAGCCAGCTGTGGTGTTTTGTGTGGAGCCAGCTGTGGTGTTTGTTGTGTGAGCCAGCTGTGGTGTTTGTTGTGTGAGCCAGCTGTGGTGTTTGTTGTGTGAGCCAGCTGTTGTGTGTGGTGTTTGTTGTGTGAGCCAGCTGTGGTGTTTGTTGTGTGAGCCAGCTGTGGTGTTTGTTGTGTGAGCCAGCTGTGGTGTTTGTTGTGTGAGCCAGCTGTGGTGTTTGTTGTGTGAGCCAGCTGTGATGTTTGTTGTGTGAGCCAGCTGTGGTGTTTGTTGTGTGAGCCAGCTGTAGGGTGTCTGAAGTTCAGGTGATTTAGAAAAAATAATAAAAAATAATAATAAAAAAATAAAAAAACGGAGATATTTTAGCTGAGATAAACGTCATTGTACCACCTGCAGATTGGACACCCCGGTATATTTACATGAGGATTCAACCGTAACCTAACCTAACCCCCCAGGCAATATTAGGGTGTTTAATCATCAGGTGAAATAAACCCAGATGTCAAACTCTTCTAGTAATGCTTATCTTCTGTTTTAAGTTCAAGGTTTAGAGTGAAGGGAGGAACTCACAGGAAATAAACCTGTCATAGAAAACCCTCTCTGACTCGCCTGGGGAAACTATCTTATAAAAATACACAAACAATAATAATTAAAGCTCCAGTGATTCAGATTCTTAAACGATCGTTATGATAGTTAATTCTCGTAAGTTAAGATAATAATATAAGTAATTGGTTGACTTAGGGGAGATAGTGTACTAACTCCTTGTGTATGGGGTCCGCTCTCAGCTGGATGAAGTCACCCGTGTTCATCCACTTGTCTCTGTCACACGTCGGTAACGGCTTCTGTTACCTGTGCCCGCCCTTAACCTTGGCAGGCGTGGATATTATTATTTTTATATTTCCTTGTGTGTCTGTCATTCATGTTCGTGTTTGTTTTGGTTGTTTAGGAGTCGTTTTCAGTTTGTTTTGGTTGTTTAGGAGTCGTTTTCAGTTTGTTTTGGTTGTTTAGGAGTCGTTTTCAGTTTGTTTTGGTTGTTTAGGAGTCGTTTTCAGTTTGTTTTGGTTGTTTAGGAGTCGTTTTCAGTTTGTTTTGGTTGTTTAGGAGTCGTTTTCAGTTTGTTTTGGTTGTTTAGGAGTCGTTTTCAGTTTGTTTTGGTTGTTTAGGAGTCGTTTTCAGTTTGTTTTGGTTGTTTGGAGTCGTTTTCAGTTTGTTTTGGTTGTTTAGGAGTCGTTTTCAGTTTGTTTTGGTTGTTTAGGAGTCGTTTCAGTTTGTTTTGGTTGTTTAGGAGTCGTTTTCAGTTTGTTTTGGTTGTTTAGGAGTCGTTTTCAGTTTGTTTTGGTTGTTTAGGAGTCGTTTTCAGTTTGTTTTGGTTGTTTAGGAGTCGTTTCAGTTTGTTTTGGTTGTTTGTAGTTGATTTTGGTTGTTTATGTTTTTCATCATTAATTTTTGCGTTGTTTTTCTGTTTGTCATTAATTTTGTTATAATTTATTTAACGTAAAATTGATTTAAATTCAAGGATATTATTTCCATAACGTAATGGTAACTGTGGTGTACTTAAGGACGCGTAAATAACAGTAATTTTCCGAAAAGGTTCAACCCTCCCATGACGTCACTCATTGGTTTACAGTAGTTACCCCGTGAATCATTTAGCGCATCATAGAAAACGGGAAACCTCTCACCCTCAACTTAACTAAATTATGATGTAATTAAATATAGAATGATATATTAAACATATTGATATTACAGATGACTAATTATTGAGTGAAAATATTCCTATATGATCTTACTGGTTCATAATATACATAATGTTAAAATACATAATAATAATAATAATAATAATATGTTCGTCGGCTCAAGCCAAGAACAGTCTAGTAAAAATATTCTTGATCTAGTGTGAGTTATGGTGGTCTCTCTCTCTCTCTCTCTCTCTCTCTCTCTCTCTCTCTCTCTCTCTCTCTCTCTCTCTCTCATACCACCACATTACATTATCAAGTATTTTCTGTTAGTTAAGCTTCAATATTAAGTACAGGTCACATCATCAAGAGCTTTAAATAAAATACCTAAATGTTTTAAGTATATTTTTAAAGTAATAATATGGCCGGCATCACCTATTTCTTCCTCATAATTTACAGCACCATAACGCCCTCCCCTCCCCCCTAATAGAGATTAATTAATAGATGAAAAATATAAATCAGGTATATCTATTCTTCAGGTGAGACTAATTACTTCACACTGTAAATAGAGTCATTAGGTCCAGCTGGTGAAAGGCAATAGTGTGTTGGGGAAGTGATGGTGACATGTTCCCAGCACGGAGGGTCAATCAATACTAAAGTGTCAACAAATTGGCGGCAACCTTCCTCCCCTCCTCCTCCACACGTGATTATTTTACTGCTCGGTGTGACAATAAAACACGGTATTAAGTGTGTGTGTGTGTGTGTGTGTGTTTGTGTGTGTGTGTGTGTGTGTATCGCTCTTTTTTTTCCAACGTGAGCTGCCTGACGTACGATTTTTTTTTGTCAATTGCCAGATAGTTGTGGGTTAGTTTAGGTTAGGTTAGGTTTAGGGTGGTTAATCTTCAGGTGATCCAGTTAACCTTTCCCGTTAAGGTAGAATCTTAGCTGTAAATTTTTATGGTACCATTGAATGTGTGTTTTAGCGTACGATAAATACAGAGTGTCTCAGAAAAATGTATACACACTGCCTTGATATGTGAGGGCAGAGTGTATACGCTTTTCTGAGACTCCCTGTAGTTGTCTTAGGAACGATTCTGTATCCAGGTGTCAGTGTTGAAAGAGAGAGAGAGAGAGAGAGAGAGAGAGAGAGAGAGAGAGAGAGAGAGAGAGAGATGCTTTAAGGCAATCAGTTATATGACGTCACACGATGTTTACAAGTGGCGTGGCGGCGACACAGAAGACCCGGGTACCGTATAGTCTTTTGCCACAAAGTTCTCTCTAACAGTTAAAACATTGTGGTACTTATAAGGCGAACAGTGTCATGGCGTCAAGTCTGGTTTTCGTAGTATAGAAAATAATATTATAATTTATAAAGTGTGGCAATAGTTCCTGGAGGTCCTGGTGAACAATGTAATGAACTTATGAACAGGTGCTGAGGATTAACCTTTGTTCTCGAGGGATGAGGGAGGACTAGAGGTAATTAGGGAAGTGATAGAGGCATTGTGTTCGATACTGAGGTGGCGGGGAGAGGAGGAGGCCCAGGGGCTAATTATTAGTCGATAAATATGTAGGGAGGGAGGTAATGACGGCGGTGTCGGGCGCAAGAGGTCACGTACTGGTGGCTAAGTTACGATGATCTTCACTACATTACGTCCAGCGTCTAGATCACTGTAGTGGTGAGTCACGTCTGGTTCCCCCCCACCTGCTGGTCTCTGAGTGTCAGTATTAATTATTGACTTACTGCCTTACACGTAACCACACCGCCCAACACCTGGTATTACTTAACCTTATTTAATCGATACCAGTGATTTTATAACCCATATCTCCTCCATTATAAGCATCAGGGAGTCTTAAGAGAGGATATATACCGTGACTAAGTGTTCAGTATACAGGGAGTATGGCTGTATGGACGGGTATTAGTAGTCATGAACATCTCGTCTCGTCTACCTGGTGCGGCATTACCTTGTGACGTCAACCACCTCCCTGCCAGACGTATATACACAGCAGCATCACAACACAATCCTTTAACACGTGTTGTAACTTGTATGATATATAACTGATAACGTAAAGATGTTTTAAATTCAATAGCAATGCCTAGTGACAAATAGCGAAAAGGTTCAAATATAATTCGTGAAAATAAACGATAATTAAATCCTCCCTAATTCCATATGGCCGACCTTGTTAACTAAACGTGTGATAGAAACCTCACATAGAAACCTCATCCTACCCGTTGATTCATCACTCTCACACACTCGTTCAAAAAATCCCTCCCGGTGATGGATTTCATTTCCTTCTGCCTAAAACCAACCAGATGACAAAATCGGATCAGATCACATTTCACAGAGGCAAAAATCCCATTACGTGGTTCTGAGTGTGGGCACCTGAGTGGGTTTATATACCAGAGTGGGGTGGGTTTATATACCATAGTGGGGTGGGTTTATATTGTATACCGGTGTCGTGTAGCTTTATAGAAATTCCTTAACCTAACCTAACCTAACATGACAACTACTGGAATATTGACAATAATAAACTTAGTAGTGACTTGCTACCTCCACAGTCAC